AGATAGATAGATAGATAGATAGATAGATTGATTGATTGATTGATTGATTGATTGATTGATTGATTGATTGATTGATAAAAACAGCTCTGCAGGTTTTAGATAAAGAATGAATCACACCTGAACACACCTGAGTGTCTTCCTGTTCATGTCCTCCTCTGTGATCCCGACGTAGGTCAGGGTTTCGTTCCAGACGGGGTTCAGAGAGTTTCGGATCGTTTTTGTTTTCAGTTTGTTGGCCTGAAACACAAACACAACCTCCTTCAGAATAAAGCTGATGTTTATCTAAACTTAGAGAATTTTTACTTTTTCTGTTTTCACATGAAAACATTTGATTCTTGTCAAGATTTCATTTCACAGTTTTAATCACAGGATTAACATCAGAAGTCAGGATTAACATCTGGTGGTCTCACCTTACTGGCTCCTGGCAGCAGGTGCAGTTTGACGTATGGGTCTGATAAACCGTTAAAGTCCATCGACTTTAAGCCCTGAAACACAGAACAGAACCACTGAGGCTTTTTATCAGTGTTACTCAAAGTTTTACAGGAAAGGATGAAAACACTGAGCAAAACTAAAAACTAAAGAAATATAAATTTCTTAACTTCAGACAGTTTGTCAAACCAAACAAGATGTTTGTTTCTATTACTAAACTGTATCAGGAGGACATGATAGATACATAAACAGAAGCAGATTTAGTTTCAATAGGTGGATTCTACCCTCTCCCTGGGCTGCTACCTTATCGTGGTGGAGAGGTTTGAGGGTCCCAATGATCCTAGGAGCTCTGAGGGGCTTCATGCCCCCAGTAGGGTCACCCAAGGCAAACAGATCCTAGGTGTGGGATCAGACAAAGTGCAGTCCAAAGACCCCTATGATGAACACAATAAATGGAGTCAGTATTCCCTCACCTGGACCCCACTCCGGAGCCAGGTCTGGAGGTGGGGCACGTTGGCGAGCGCCTGGTAGCCGGGCTTTTACCCATGGAGCCCGGTCAAGCACAGCCCGAACAGTAGATGTGGGTCCCCCTTCCCATGGGCTCACCACCTGTGGGAGGGGCCAAACGGGTCAGGAACGCCCCCCCGATCTGAACCCAAGTGGTGTTCTGTTATTGGACTTCTGTGCTCGTCATGGATTGTACATAACGAACACCATGTTCAAACATAAGGGTGTCCATGTGTGCTCTTGGTACCAGGACACCCTAGGCTGCAGTTTGATGATCAACTTAGTTGTCATTTCATCTGATCTGCGGCTGCATGTTTTGGACACTCAGGTGAAGAGAGGGGCGGAGCTGTCAACTGACCACTACCTGGTGGTGAGGGATGCTGTCAGGCTGAAGAAGGAGTCCTATCAGGTCTTTTTGGCCTGTGGGACTCTGGAAGCAGCTGATAGGTATCGGCAGTCCAAGAGGATTGTGGCTCGGATGGTTGCTGAGGCAAAACCTCTGGCGTGGGAGGAGTTTGGAGAGGCCATGGAAAAAGACTTCCGTACGGCTTCGAGGTGATTCTGGTCCACCATCTGGCGTCTCGGGGGGGAGGGGGTAAGCCACAACACTRTTTATGGTGGGGATGGTGCGCTGCTGACCTCAACTTGGGATATTGTGGGTCGGTGGGCAGAATACTTCAAAGACCTCCTCAATCCCACCGACACGTCTTCCCATGAGGAAGCAGAGCCTGAGGACCCTGGGTTGGACTCTCCAATCTCTGGTGCCAAGGTCACTGAGATGGATGAGATTCACACGGAGTTCCTTAAGCTTCTGGATGTTGTGGGGTTGTGTTGGTTGACATGACTCTACAATATCGCGTGGACATCAGGGGCAGTTCCTCTGGATTGACAGACCGGGGTGGTGGTCCCCTTTTTTAAAAAGGGGGACCACAGAGTGTGTTCCAACTATAGGGGGATCACACTTCTGAGCCTCACTGGTAAGGTCTATTCAGGGGTCCTGGAGAGGAGGGTCTATCGGATAGTCGAATCTGGGATTCAGGAAGAGCAGTGTGGTTTTGGTCCTGGTCGTGGAACACTGGACCATCTCCACACCCTCAGCTGGGTCCTGGAGGGTTCATGGGAGTTCAACCAGTCTACATGTGTTTTTTGGACTTGGAGAAGACGTTCGACCGTGTCCCTCGAGGACTCCTGTGGGGGGGTACTCCAGGAGTATGGGGTACCGGGCCCATTGATACGGGCTGTTAGGTCCCTGTAGGACCGGTGCCAGACCTTGGTCCACATTGCTGGTAGTAAGTCAGACTCGTTTCCAGTGACAGTTGGACTCCACCAAGGCTGTCCTTTGTCACCGATTCTGTTCATAACTTTTCTGGACAGAATTTCTAGGAGCAGCCAAGGTGTTGAGGGGATCCTTTTTGGTGACCTTAGGATCACATCT